GTTACCCCTTATAGCAAAGACTTTTTTTTTAAAGGGAAAAAAAAGTAGCTCAGCAAAACTAATCACCTTATAATATTCCATGTTCCATACACCTAAACCCCTACCTCTACAAATGGAGAGAAGTACATTTTCTCTTTTCTTTTCCAAGGTCTTCTTGATCATTCTAATCACACAGCACTTAGTTTCATATTTTCATTCCTTACATTTACACTGTAGTCATTATGTATATTGCTTTCTTAATTCTGCTTACTTCACACTTAAAAGTTCACATATCCTCCTGAATTTTTCAGAATTCATTCCTGTACCTAGCTTAGTGTCTAGTACAGGACATGCATTTAACAAATGGCTTCAGACTTGATTAGATGTGGGTTCATATGAGGAACAGGGGGTGGGAGGTCAAATCTATGAATGATCCTGCTCAGTCAAATTTGGGGGAATACAGTTGATGAGCACCTAGACAATGTTTGTCTATTGAGGGGGGGAAAAAGGGCTGCACGTACCTGATCCAGCACCATTTGCTGATGACAGATGGTATTCATCCTTTCCATGCTCTGGTTCAGTAAACCTTTCTTAAATGTCAGATGGTTTATGAGGATCTCATTTTGTACTAATCCTATACCTGAACCAACATACTAGTCTAAATCAATCTTGACCCACAACACAGACTACTTCAAAAGTGATGGACATTTAGCAGCAATAATTATGACTATCAATGCCACTAGCAACAGTGTTTCCAGTTTCGCTCATAGGAGTATATAAAAATTCAGGTGGGTACCAGAGAATCTATGATGTAAATTATACTGGATGATGCAATCTGGAAAACTGAATGAAAAGGGTTAAATAATACATGGAATGAGAGAACAGGACATTTAGATAATACTTTACAAATAGAAATTATCGGGTGGGACCCAGAAATAAGATCATGCTATTGTAAACAGGAAAACAAACTAGTGAATATCCGAGTTGTGATAATATTATGGGTAATCAATTTTAGAAACAAAACACATTTGATAGACGCTGAGGTTTCAAGTACACATATGTTGAAGGGTACTGACTGAAGTATGTCTGTCAACAAACATTGCTAGGCACCACGCTAAGTGCTGGGGATACAAAGAAAGGGGAAAAAAAAGGTACCTGCCCTCATGTAGCTCACAATCTAATGAGGGAAGACAACATATTAAAAAGAAGTTGAAAAGTTGGGAGAGGGAGGAGGGTACCCAGCATCATGAAGTCCTGCAGCTCATCAGGAAATTATGAAATGGCTGCCCTGGCCACCCTCCTTAAATGGAGGATCTGGGAGGAGCTCTCCAGACATCTGCCCTGCACTTTCTCTAGTTAGAGAGAGGTAGGGGCCCCAAGGGCAGGAGGAACTAACGAGATACAACATTACCATTTGATAGGCTCTTTCAGGAAAATTAGTTTCTGGAGATAATGATGAAGTTAAGGAAAGCACACCAGAGGGAGATGTTGGGTGATTAAAATGAAGAGGGGATAAAAAGGAAAAAGAAAGATGAAAAGTAAAGAACAAGAAGAGAATAAATTGTTTTTGACAGGTAGATATTCAGTTGGAAATGTCTAATATGTATTTAGTGATGTGAGACTGGGGCTCAAGAGACTGAGATTGAATCTAGGAATTGAGATCTAGGAATAAACTAAAAAAGATGGTAACTAAACCTAGAGGAGCTGGTGAAGTACCTTAACATTTAAAGAGAAAAGGGAAGTGGTCCCAGGGGAGAGACTTGGGGCACTTTGAACACGACATGGATGATGAATCAGCAAAGGAGACTGAGGAGTAGTCAGGTAGGAGGGGAACCAGGAGAGAGAAGTGTCACAAGAACACGGAGAGTATTCAAGAGGAGAAAGTGATGAACCGAATCAAATTCTACATACAGGGAAAGGAGAATAAAGAAAGGCCATTAGATTTGGTGATCAGTATGATCACTGGCAACTTTGGAAAAAGCAATTTCAGTTAAGTGATGGGGTCAGAAGGCCAATCGCATAGTATTATGAGGGGAATGAGAAGAAAGTATCGGCATTAAGTTTAGATGACTTTGTCAAGGAGTTTGACTGAAAAAAAATATTTAGAGTGGCAGCAGAGAAGGCAGGACCTAGAGAGGGTTGTGTTTTTTTTCTTTTTAAGGATAGGGAGACTTTGTAGGCAGTGGAGAAGGAACCAGTAGATAGGGAGAGATTAAAGACATCTCTAGCAAATGGCCAAATAGCCCTCATTTGCAGATCACTGACAGGAAATCTATTAACTGCTGCCAAGTATAAAAGATGTTGGAAGAAAGTACCCAGACTTTGGGGATAAATGGATTCCAACTTCTCATTGGGGGTAGATGCAACAATTTTTAGAAAACATGTTGGAGCCACTACAAGTTTAACTACAGTGCTTTTGTGTTCATACATTAGCCTATAATTTAAAAATTATAGCATCATTAACTGAACAAGTACAACTGGTCTGGTCCTGTTGTTGGACTTATAACATCCATACCAGTGACCTCCAGTAAAAGGTTGTTTTGGGAAATAGTTGTTACGTAAGGTTCATTACTTAGTCACAAAATCTCAGAGTTCTAACGCTTGAGAGAGACACGTGCAATTGTTTCAACCCTTGAGATTCTGTGAAATGTAGTCTAATTTGTATTTAAGGAGGAATCCTTTCTATATATTGTATTGGAGGGGTGGAAATCATGCCTTTGCTTGAAGATCCATACCTCTCTTTTAATCAGTGTTTGTATCAGACTTAGATGAAGACACTAATGTCTCAATTATCAGATTTTTGAAATACCTGAAGCTGGGACACCAATACACTGGATGGTAAAACTGGCACCCAAAAAGATTGAGAGAAGCTAACATGAGGAAATGTATGAAAGGCAGGCAATAGGTGCACTGGAAAGAGAATAAGATTTAGAGTCAAAGGAACTGGGTTCAAATCCCCTAACCAAGTTACTTCAATTCCCTTGCCTTCATTTTCCTCATTTGTAATTTGAGGAGGCTGGATTGCATTACCTCTCAGGTTCCTTCCAGCTCTAAATTTATGATTCTAATAGCAATAAAATTCCACCCTTGAATCTTAAAAAATCAACTTCAAGGGGCAGGTAGGTGGCCCAGTGAATAGAGCACAGGTCCTGAAGTCAGGAGGACCTGAGTTCAAATCCGGCCTCAGACCAAACACTTGACACGTACCAGCTGTGTGACCTTGGGCAAGTCACTTAACCCCAATTGCCTCACTAAAAAAAATTATAATAATAATAATTTTTTAAAAATCAACTGCAAAAGTTAAAGAGGAAGACATAGATAAGAATTCATGTGAAAATGGCATGGGTATTTTGGTGGACTTTAGGCTTGATGGGGATGAATTAACAGTGGTATACAGAAACCAAAAAATTGAATAGTCTTAGATTGCGTTTATGGAGAATATTGGAATGAGGGATCCAGAAGGAGGGAAGTTGACCGTTCTGCAACGGTCAAATCAAATGTGTTTTGTTGTATCCAAATACAGGAAGGAAATGAAAGGATTCATTAAAGTTGTATGAATATTCATTTAAGTTGTACGTTAAAATGGTTATGGTTTCTTTAAAAGTACTGGCAACACAATTAAGAAGCTGGACTATATTTTTTTAAAAAGCAGACAAATGAAAGCAAGTAATAAAAATTCCAAATTTAGTTGAAATGGTAGGAGCCATAATTCTTGAATATACTAACAAGGAACACTGGAAATGAATCAGATGAGGGCCCAAACTGTCATCAACAAGGTAACAGTGAATTTAAAACAAACAAGGCAATATCTTGGCTATGCTGGCTCTTAAAATCCGGACTCTGCCACTAACTCAGGGTGCAAGTCAGGCAGACCAGTTCCTTTCAAGTCTACAGGTGCAGAATTAGGAGGAGCTTGGGAGGTCCTGTGGTCCAAACATCTCACATTTCACACTTGAAATGGAAGCTCAGAGACAGCAGGCTGTCTTGCCAAGGTCACACTGGCAAGGAGAGAACCGCTTCTCTCACTTTTCCTCTCAGTGTCTCCCCTTCGACTTAAAGGGGGTGGGGGTCGGGGGACTGCTTTGACGGAGGGAGGTGTGATTAAGGTCAGGTCAAGTTTACATGCATTCATTAAGAAAGGCAGCTAGGCGGCATAGTGCTGGACTTGGAGACAGAAGAGCCCTGAGTTCAAATAGGACCTCGGATGGCTACGTCATGTCACTTAAAGTCAGCTTAAGCAAAACCAAAAATCATAATCTTTTTAAATTAGGCGCTTATTACGTGCCAGGGACTGAGCTGAGAGCTGGGGATGCAAAAAGTCTCCTCCTTGAAGGAGCTCGCTCCCCGGGACGTTTCGCGATCCCCTCGGGACGTCCTGCACCGCGGAGGGTGGGGTGGAGCCGGAGCAGCTTCGCCCGGCGGGCGGGGACGCCGAGCACCCGCTGCTGTCCTGGGCTCCGCCTGACTCACACGGTCCGGCCAGCTGGCAGGGCAGCGAGCCCCTCCCCCCAGCTGCGTGACTCAGTTTTCCCGCCCGAGGCAGGGCACTCAGAAGGGAGGCGAGGGCCGGGGAGAAGATGCTCGCCGCGCTCGGGGTCTCGGGGGACGGCGGCTAACTTGGGGCGGGTGGAGAGTGATTTACCAACTCCGCGACTGCCCCGCGCGGGACAAAGTTGGTTCAACTTCGGAGGGGGCGGGGCCTCGAGCGGCAGGGGGGCGGGCCCGCACTCGGGAGGCATGAGGTCACGTGGGCTGGGGGCACAAGGGCTCGGGTGGGCAGCCGAGTGGGGGACCGGAGGCGTGGTCGCCACGGGGCAGACACAGGGCGAGGGGACTACGAGGCACGGACTCCTCCGCTCCCTCGCTCGTCCGCCAGCAACCTCCACCGCGCGCCCCGCCCCGCCCGGTCCTGGTTGGTCGCTCGGAGCCCGCCCCCTCGCGCCGAGGCCCCCCCCCTCGGCCCCTCACGTGACCCCGGGGTGAGCCAGCGGGAAGTGGAGTCTCCGAGGCGGCGCCGCAGGGGAACGGAGCTTCTTCCGCAGCGGCAGTCCGTCGCCCGAGCACCAGCGCCATGAACGGGATGCGGGGGCCCTTCCGGCCGCTCTTCTGGGCCGCCGCCGCCTGCCTGGCCGCGCTATGCGTGCTGAGCGCGGCCGAAATCTCAGCGCCTACGGCCAACTTCAGCGAGTCCTCATCAGTGCCGCCCAGTCAGGAACCCACGACGAAGGCCACTCCCGCGCCCACGACGAAGGCCACTCCCGCGCCCACGACGAAGGCCACTCCCACGCCCACGACGAAGACCACTCCCGAGCCCACCCCGAAGCCCACCCCAACCCAAGCTCCGGCACCAGGTGGGGGCGGGGCGGCGGCGGCTTCCCCTCGCGCGCTGAGTCGCGTGCGCGTGTGTGGCCGGTGGGGGGCGGGTGGTTAACTCTTCCGGCAACATGGCGGATCGTCCTAGGGAGTGAAAGTCCAGCCAGCTGGGTTTCGGGGACCAGGACGTTAGGGGGAGGTGGGGGACAAGCCTGTGAAGTATATATGTGTGTCTGTGTGTACGTATCCGTGTATCCGGGGCCCACGAAGGTTGGGCCCCGTGATCCGTTCCTCCCTCCCTCCCAAAAAAACCGTAACTTTATCCAGATGGAAACACAAGCCCTGACTCTGTGCGGAGGCCCGGAGAGAGCCGACGTGGCTCCCCCCGGCCCGGCGGGGCAGCGCGGGTGTGTCGCGCTTGGGTGCCCCACTCCCCTTCCCCCACATCCTTTATCTCCCGTCCCCGGGAACCCCAGGTGAAGTACTTCGAAAGCCCCTGGTGAAACGCGACTTCCTCTGAGACCTGTAGCTGTGGACTTGGTTGACTTAGGTGCGTCCTCTCTGGGGAGACTCGGTCCCCGGGAAGTGGGATGGCATCCCCGCACTGGGACTGGGAGCGCCTCCCTGGCCTGGAGGGGCTTGCTGAGTTTTGGAAACACAAAAAGTTGACTCCCGCAGCATTTGTTTTGTTTCCTGGTGTAGCTGAGGAGATGGCCCCGGGTGAGACTTTTGGAGCTGTCTGAGGGATGGAATGGGGGGAAAAGTCTACGGTCTAAAGTCATTTTTATATTCCCGGCCCTTAGCACAGTCTGCCGCACAGTAGGCGCTCAATAAATGCTGATTTGACCGATCTTGAGAAAAGGGCACGAAAATATTGGCTAAAGGTTAACGTAGCGTGTTAATCAAAGTCTTTACTCCAGAATACTAATTTATGGTGTGCAAGTGTGTGCGCGCTTCCTCCACCCTGCCCTTAGGTTTAACCGCGTTCTCCAGATTTGCATATGCAGGAAATGGATGTGCTAAAACCCTTAAAATCAGAAACTAGGAAGGAAAAATGCCCTGTGTAACCTTTCCCGGAAGGCAGTGTTAGTGTGCGTTGTGACTTTTAATTGTTAAATTATTAATGCTAAACTGTTAAAAGCACTTTTTCAGAAAGCACCAAGTTCATTACCTTTGAAGATGTGGCATAATGTTTGTAACTTGACTATGCAGAGATTGAGTTTAATTTCCATTTCTAGAAACCATTACATGTATAAGTTTCAGTTTGGGGAGCTAAGGGCTTCTTACTTTGAATAAATGATGTATCTAAGACCATAACTGTTCTCATTTCCCCTGTCTTTTTCATTTAACGTAGAAATATGATGTGTTAAGGCATAAGGCCACATAAAAGTAATTAATTCCAGAATATCAGTCAGAAAGAACCTTAGAGATAATCCAATTCATCTCCCTCATTTTAGAGGTGAGGCAGCCTTGACTGAGATGAAATCACTTGCTTAAAGTGACAGAACTATTAAGTAGTTTTGGAATGTGAAGTCTTGTGACTCCAAATCTAGTGCTTTTCTCCCAGTCAGTGCTGTGGTAGAGTATTAACGGGAGAAGTAATGTGAAGTGGAAGAGTTCTTAATTTGCTGTCAGGTGAATTCCCAGGCTGACTTAAGAACCTTGATTTTTATTATACTCAAAATTATTTAGTATATTTGTCTTGTTAATGATTTTCCTTAAGTTTAAAGTCTGAATGACTTTGAGAAGAAAATAAACTAAGAACAAATTTAGCCAGAGATGTTCATTGAAGCCTCTCTGGGTATTGAAATACTAATTTTCATTTGCTTGAAAACTTTAAAGAATACTACTGGGGAAGTGGTACATTACAATTGAAAGAACACTGGATTTTGCATCAGGTGACATTTCAGGAATTTCAATAAAATTCTACATGACAAACATGAGAATTGTAGTGCACAGCACTCATGTCTACGTTTATTTTAAGTAAATAATTCAAAAATTAATTGTCCTATTTTGATAGACGTTGAAATAGCTGGATCTAGGTAAGATGAAGTAGCTTAAATTTTTCTTGGCTCCTGTCTCCCATGAAATGCCCAATGCTGTTAGATTTCTGTTCAGAATAAATTGACCAAGTATGATAGAGCACCAGGCTTGAAGACCAAAGTTCAAATATGGCCTCACAAACTTACTAGCTGTGTGACCCTGTGCGAGTCACTTAACCCTGTTTGCCTCAGTTTCTTGTCTGTAAATTGAGTTGGAGAAGAAAATGGCAAACCACTCCAATATCTTTGCCAAGAAAGCCCCAGATAGGATCAGGAAGAGTGGGACATGATTGAAAAACAACTCAACCACAACCTGAGTTGAATGCTACTTCCTACCTGGGATTTTAGGCAAGCTGCCTCAGTTTCTTCATCTGTAAAATAACAGAGTAGGACTAAGTGATCTCTAAGGTACGTATTTGCTCTAAATCTATGATTTCATTAACCTCTTGGAAAGGAGAAACTTTGTGCCTTATAGCCTGGCATTCACTAAACATCAATGATTCCAACATTTGAGCTGTGTTTTATCTTTATAACCCTTGTTTTGAGATGTTACAGGATAGGTGGTAATAATTACTTTTTTTCTGGTTTTTTAAATGAAGAATTACATAATGAGTAGACGGTTGATGTGGAGTTGAAGGAATTCCCCGTGTTCTAATCTTGTTTCTGACAAATACTAGTTATATGACCATTTAGAAGCCACAAACTCTCAGCCCCCAAAGCTGTAGGAGTGGTGAAGTAGATTAAAACCTACTTGGCTATTTTTTAACAACAAAAAACATAGTAAAAATAAAACATAGATAATGTTAATTTTTCATTTTCTAAGTCAATATGGCACCCACAGGGATCTATTTCTATTTGAGTTTGACAGCACTGTTTTATGTTACGTATGAATTGCTCCTCTGGTCTGGTAGAAGGGATTTCCATACTGGGAGTTCCATACTCAGCTGAAATCACATGTCTTGGTCAAAAGTTAAAGAGAATCATGGTAATAGAATCATATTTAGGGCTGGGGTGGGGCTCAGAGGCCATGGAGTTCAATAGTTTCATTTTACAGAACAGGGATGGAGGCCCATAGAGAAAAAACTTGCCCAGGGTCGTAGAACTAGTAAATGTCTAAGGGAAATTTGAACCCAAGGCTTCATTTTCTAGGAATATCTAGATTCTAGTTGTGGCTCTAAACATTTAGGTCTAATCAATTTTTTCATTTGCTGAGGCAATATGATTAAACCATGCATTTGACTTTGACGAACTAGTTATTGGTCCCAGTATAGGCTTATCTGCTTTCTAATTTTAAAGGCAGGTGAGTCATTAGTAAGGAATGATTCCAAAGTCTTACACTTACCCAAAGTCATTTTCAAAATGGTTATTTGGGCTCACCTTGTAGAAACCTAAGTTACCATTAAAAATTATTGCTCTAACCTTTCATGTCTTCCATGGCAGTAGTTTCCAAAGTTTTGAAGTTTTAAAATAAATGTATTCATGTATTCAAAATAAATGTAACTCTGTAGCAGAGGTATAAAACACCGAAGTGCTGTTAAGCCAAACTAAAATGTAATTTGGAAATATTTAACAGAATAAAACATAGATAATGTTAATATATGGTTTTCTAAGTCAGTATGTGCAGGGAGAGGTACATATATACTTGGTTTAGTGTACCTGGTTTCTATTTGACTTTCTTCAGTCTATAGGATAAAACACAAAGCAGTAATACCATGAGCATGGTTTTCTGTCATGAAATGCCTAGAGATGCCTCATGATAACCCTGGGATTTTATTTTATCTATTTGAAAATGGTTCCTTTTGGAAAAAAGATGACTTTATATTGAGAGTATTCTAAAATAATGTAAATAAAACTTCTAGTACTCTGCTTTTTTATAAAAGGATCTTACCGCTTTAGAGATGACTTGACCAAATCAATTTGACTTTTGTTAAAAATAGTTAGAATAAGCTACCTAACCTCATGTTACTTATCTTTTGATTCCCCTTCTAGTAGATTCTTGTTATTGCATAGTTTTTAGCACCAAGGAAAATGGCTTCTTTTGCCTGTCCAATGTTGTTTTAGAAAGATAAGCAGAACTGAGTGTACATTAAGAATACAAATTGAGTTGTTGATGTAAACATTTTATTTCAGAAAGCTGTAAAGAATACACTAACTGCAGTTCCTGTGTTGAGAGTAAAAATGCCACCTGCTTTTGGACAGTTTGTAATGGTAAGAATCTCAGCTTGTGTCAAATAAACAATGTTGTCTTAACAAATATAACACTGAAAGAATATTACTGATAATCAAAAATGAAATCAATATAAAAAGAGAACACTCTAGAGAGTGTTCTTATACTTTTTTTGTATCATGGACTCTCAACTAGTAAAGCCTCTGGACTCCTTAAAATACGTAAGATTACAGAGAAAACCAATTATATTGAAATTCGATTATCAAATTTTTTAAAAAGTAAATTCATGGGATTAAGATCCTCTTGCTCTAAAGTGTTCTATTTCTTTGGAGATTTTGTGTTCCTTTATAGTACCATGTTTGAGGTCTAAAGGATTAACTTCAACTTTCCTTGTTTCTGTTTCATGGCTTATTCCATTTAGATAGTCTGTAGGCTTGTAAAGCAAGAGAAATTTTATTAGAATTAAGGAAATGTTTCTTGACCTTTAGGATTATAAAATACTAAAATGGGCCCCAGAGGGAAGTTGTAGAGTCTTTGTATGTAGAACATTAGAACTGAAAAGGGCCTTAAAGGTAAGGAACATTTAGTTATTGATGAGAAAGCTGAGGTCCTGAGAGGTGTGAAGGGCTTCCTATAGGTATCTTTATAGATAAACAGCTGGACTACTCAAGGAAGATTAGCATATCTGTAGATTGAGAGCTGGTAGTATAAGTTCTAAAGGGACGTTATCATCATGATTCTTTAGGGGATAAGATTAGGAAGATAAGGTTAGTCAACTCTTTTCTTCCATGCTTTGGATTATGAATTGAAGTTTTAAACCAATTGACATGTGAGAGAAAAAGCAGTAATTAAGTGAAGATTCTGTTAACTTCTAAAAACTTCTGTTTAGCTTCTAAAAATTAAAAGAAAGCCGCCATCAGTACTATGTATTAACTAAATGAAATGTAATATTCTCTAATTGCTACACCTAGTATATACAGTGTTGTGTTAGTTTTAAGATAGAAGTGCAACACTTTTTTTTTAAGATGATCTGATGTGGCATAAAAAAGGGATAGTGGTAGTGAGTTTTGATGACTAAATGATATAGTCTCTATGAAGATAGGATGGGGGGTGACATGGCTGCTTCTTTAGCTAGAAATTTATCTGCTATTCCTCCAGGACAACAAGACAGAATTATAGTGATGGGGGCAACTGTGTGGTATATAGGTCTTAGTATTTCTGATGCTCAATACTTAGCAGATATTGGTCCCTTTTTCTCTTTGTCTTGGCCATTATTGATGTCACATCAGGTATCTGTTCTGTGGATATAACAACATAGAGGCTATATCTTGGTTTCAGAGTATTTATTTCAACTTTTATTTCTTCATTAGGTTCTGGCTATTGTTCAGAAAATGCAGCAACTCCAAATTGCACTGTTGTTAATAGTTCAAGTAACTGTATAGGTAAGTAACTGATGGTAACTAATACTTGTTTTAGTTTGTTCATTGCTGTTGAGAAATGGCAACTGGGGACAGGTGGGTGGGGTTAAGGCCATTACTTCAAATGAAGACAAGGTTTTTCAAAACCGAACTGATTATTCTGATATCATCTAAATTGGGACTAAATCCTTTGTCTAGATTATGACTTTAATTTTTCATACGTTACCCTTGGGCAAGTCATTTGACTTTAGAGTCTCGGTTTACTCATCTGTAAAATATGGAGAATTATCCTACCCTAGAGACATTGTGGAACAATGGATAGGGTTAGCTTTGGAGTCAAGAAGACCTGGGGTCAAATCCTACTTCTGATATATACTGGCTGTGTGATCAGGAGAAATTCACTCAAAGTTTTCAATGTTTTATACAACTCTAAAAGAAGTTGCATGTGAATTGCTAATCTGCATTGCTGGAGGGAATTTTGGCATCAAGAGTACCTTTACTTCAGTGAATTCATAAGTCTGGGCCATGAAAAAAAAAATCTGCTGTACATATTCTGCAAGGTGGTTGTGAGGAGCAAGTGATTTCATGTACTATATATAAATCACTTTGTAGCTGTAAAGCACTCTGGAAATGATTTGTAGCCTTGTTTTATTGTGAAGTAGCATAGCAAGGTTTCAGTAGGTTTTTATTATCACTTAAATTTCTTAGTAGCACCTCCTATATTCTCATTCTGAAACTAATGCAATCTGTGATCTCATTTTTGTGTAATAGGTTTATAAAATTATGAAAGGGAAGAACTTCCCCTATAGATCCAGACTAAATTAACAAGGCAGGCAAACATAATCTTCCTTTCTCACTGAAATAGTTTGCCAAGCTTTACAAGCAGACCAAAATTATGGAATGAACAGCCTTGGATGACTATTGTCAATTTTTCAGTTACTGTAGTTTTGATTTAGCCCTTAAAACTAAGGGATCTGCTAGTTTAGATCTTAATATTTTGAATAACTTTTATATAATTTTGTTGATGTATGTTTCTGCTTTTGTTTTCAGTGGGACCTACTACCAGTCCACCTCCAACTAATTCTACAGGTAATTTAAGATAAGTAACGATTCACTAGTATGGAGTTTCAAGGTTTTATCATAACTTTCTTAGGGTAACTTTCTGGCATTTGAGTATCTGAAAAATTCTAGATTTAATTAAAATAATATAAAGAAAAGATTGCTCAGTCATACCTCAATGCTTACAAGTATCTATGATTTCATTGGTATGGATTATCCTTTCTCCAATGCAGATTGCATTCCCTTAGACATTATACATGAATTACTGTGGCCGACAACATTTTATTAACTGGTGATGAGCTGCATTGAATTTACTTAGGCTTTTCCAGTTTTTTCAGTGGGTGTAGAAATTGTTACACATTGTGCTCTGTAAGCATAGCCTTTAAGAAATCCATTAGCATCTGCGCACAACAGTGAGGCGTCATTGATTTGAGCGGAAGTAATAATTTGTGTTGAGCACAAAATGCCATGCTCCTTGAGGGGTACGGACTATCACTTTTTAATCTTTGTATTTCATTTGTAGAACAATTAATTGTTATAGTAGGCATTTAATAAGAGGGTTTTAAAAAAAAAATCAATGAATATCCTATATGGTCCTTGCAACATACTGTATAATATTTAGCTAAGTTTGGAATGGCTCATCTCCACTTTGCCACAGGGTGGTAAATTGTTTGGTCACAGAATCTCTTGAAGACATTTTGTGAAACTGTAAAGGATCTTTACATCATTGGAGAAAGAAATCACACATTAAGGTCTTGGGTCTTTGAAGTATTGAAGTATCTGTGTATAGATACATTTTTTAAAAAAATTTGGTCATTTTCTTTTAATATTTCGGTCTTGCAGCTGCTTAATTACTAGAATAAAATGACTTCGTTGTTACGGCTTGATAACTAAAAGATAGAGACTAGGTTTCAATTTTACCATATGGCTGACAGGAGAACCCTTCTCCCAACCAGCCATCTACTTAAGGCTGTGCTATCTACTACTATCCCTACCTTAGACTCTTCAGGAACATTTAAGCCAGTTATACCAAGAAGGAACTTATAGTATTAGACCAAGAGTATTAGTTAATTTTGGGGAAAGTGTAGTTAGGAAACATTTGCTTTTTGTGATAAAAACATCGAGGTGGTCTGTAGTAGCCCTGAGCCTTGCCACTGATGTTAGTCAAATTTCTCTTAACCTTTAGTATTAAATTTATGAGAAACTAAGGGAAAAGAATAAAGAAGCAACATAACAAGGAGGATGAAGAGAGAGGACCGGGTTTCTGAATGATGCTTTGTTTGAATGATTAAGAAATTCATTACTTTTATCAGAATTAGTCGAAATAAAATTTCCTGCCATGCTATACTTGAGTACTGGGAACAAATGGAGTAATTAGCATTTAGTGATATTTTTCTTCCAAATATTATCAATTAAGAGCAAAATTAATTGCAGTAGGTATGGATTAAGTTATTTGATAGTACTATAGTGATTTTTTATTTTTAAAAGCCATTGTGGATGTGTTACAAATTTGTAAGTTGTACCATTTATGGTTGTTAAGAAAACACATTTTAACAAGCAACTCTATATACATATATATATATATATGAATGAAAGCTTAGCTCCAAATATTTTTTCAGTGGGTGAACTTTAGAGCAGATCTAGCAAAAAGCATGTTTTAAATAATAAATGGTTATTGAATTGGATGAAACTGTTGTTTGTGGTCTTGTCCAAACCAAATGATCATGGCATGCTAAAATTCTAAGCAACCTGAGATGGAGAAACTACTTACTGTAGTTCCAAGTTTGCACATAACTCTGGGTCTGTCACTGAAATTTTTCATAAAAGTATCAAGTTCTACTGTTAGAATTCTATACTTGGAGAGGGAGGAGAGATGAAGCAAAACAAATAACCAGAGAGGAAGGTAAATTTTTAGCAGTACATAGTATTTACTTAGCCTTTCCAAATGTTCAATACAATTTCACAGAGTTGTAGAAGCACTATTCATCAGTATTACCTTGAATTGTTTCTTGGGCTGTTAAATCTCCAATTAGATTGTTGGGTCCTGGAGTCCAGAGACTGTCTCTTTATCCTTAAAAGATGGGCATAGTCTTTTTGTATATAGTAGGCACCCAACAAATATTTCTTGACAATGATGTTTATTTACCAGTTATATTGAATAGTCCTTCTGTCTAGCATGTTCTTTGTCCTCGTTGTAACCTCCAGTCCTTTACCCCCTCATTGCTTTCCAAAGCCATCACTCCTGTACTGGCTATGCTCTCTTCCCTTCCCTATATTGACCCCTTTATTTTTAACTCTGCACTGTCCTGTTCTTCTCTCAAGTTCTTGCCCCTTCATGTTATTGCTAGTTCTTGCCCTGCCAAACTTTAGTCTTGGATTAACTCTAGTCATGTGCCTTCACTCCTATTCATGTGCTGCTGAAGAAAAAATCATAAAACCATGCTGGATGGGTCCAATACAAATTTACATTACATAATCTTAACTGGGCCCTCACTGTGGTAAGACAGTCTTTTTACATCTTCCTAATTGATTCACTATCCCATTTACCACATGTCCTTTTCATACTTTTTTAACCCTCACACTTCCCATGGCTCTCTCTTATCCTCTCAGTGGAGAACCTTGCCTCATATATTACTAAAAAAAAAATTGAGGCCACTTACAGCTCTCTCTTCTCCCCTCCTCAACTCATTCAGGTGCCTTCCTCTCCTACTTGCTACTTTACCTCTGTCTCAAAGGAAGAGTTGCCCATTCTTCTTGCCAAGGCAAATCCATTTCTACAGACACAAGTGATCCCAGTCCATGCTATCTTCTCCAACATTGTTTCCTCTGTTATCTCTACATTTTCATATAACTTCAGTTTGTCCCTGTCAATTAGCTGCTTCCCTCATGCCTACAATCATGTCCATGTGCCCCTGATCCTCAGAAACCCCTCACTTGGTCTGTCCATCCCTGCTGGCTATTGTCCTAAGTGTCTCTAACCTTTTGTTACTGAAGTTCTCAAGAAGGCTGTCTGGACTAGCTGCCTCCACTTTATTTTCTCCCAGTCTCTTAACTCTCTGTAGTCTGGCTTCTGACGTCGTTCAACTGAAACTGCTCTCTGTAAAGTTACCAGTGATCTCTTAATTGCCGAATCTAATGGCCTTTTCTGCATTCTCTTTCTTGACTTTGCTGCAGCTTTTGTCACTCTCCTTCTTGATATGTGTTTCTTGAATTTCTCTTTGGATTTTCATAATAGTATTCTCTCCTGATTCTCTTCCCTGACTAGTCCTTCCAGACTTCTTTGGTGGATCTTCATCCGTGTCATGCCTGCTAACCATGGGAGTCCTTCAAGGCTCTGTCTTGGGATCTTCTTCTCCCTTTAATACTGTTTTACTTGGTGATCTCATCACCTCCCATGGATTCAACTATTATTTCTCTTTAGATGATTCTCAGGTCTAATTTGTCTAGTCGTATAGTCTTAACCTGTCTCTTGATCTCTGCCTTTTGGCCATCTCAAACTGAATGTCTCATAGACATCTTAAACTCGATATGTCCAAAACTGTACTCATTATCTTTCTTCCCAAACCCTCCCCTCTTCTTTAGTTCCCTCTTATAGTTAAGGGCACCACCATCCTCGTAGTGACCCATGCTTGCAAACTAAGTGTCATCCTCAACTCCCCATATCCAATTGGGTACCAAGGCCTGTTGATTCTCCTTTCACATCATCGCTTGTAAATGCCTCCTTTCCTCTAATATTGCCACCGCTTTGGTGCAGGCCTTCATCTCCTCATGCCTAGACTGTTGAAGTAGCCTTTTGGTTGGTCACCCTGCCTCAAATCTCTCCCCACTCCAGTCTATCCTCAATTCAACTGTCAAGGTGATCCTTATAAAAAAGTCAAATTTTGGCACTTCCCCTCTCCCCATTCAGCAAACTCCACTGGTACCCTATCCCTTCCAGAATCAAATAGAAAATCCACTTTTTGTGTTATAAAGCTCTTAGCAACCTGAACCTGTCCTACTGTTCTAGTCTTCTTACACCTTATTTTCCTCTTCATGTACTCTGCAATCCATTGACACTGGTCTTGCTACTCTGGCACATGTAACTTGTTTTCACTAGCTGTCTCCTCCTCCCCCCATGCCTGGAATTCTCTCCCTTCTCATCTCTGTTTTCTGGGTTCCTTCGAATCTAATCTGAAGTCTTACCATCTGCAGGAATCCTTTTTCCATGTTCCTTAATGTTTCTTCCCATACGAAATTATTTCCAGTCCATCCTGGATGGATCTTGTTTGTACATAGTTGTTTGCATATTGTCTCCTCCTTTAGGCTATGAACTCAAGAGCAGGGGCTGTCTTTGGCCATTTTTTGTATCCTTTAGCACGGTGCCTGGCACAGAGTAACCTCATGATAAATGTTTGTTGACTTGACTTTACCATCAAATGGTAGTTGAACATCTACTACTAAACTCAAAAGACATATATCCTCATACCTTGGAACCTTAATAATATAAAATTCTAGATGTTACACACAAGATAAATGTGAATATACAAACAAAAACAAATATTGATATTATACCATAATGAAAGTAGATTTTAGAGAAGAGGCTGGAATGCTAGTGCTATCTTTAGCTCTTTAAAAGACGAAGAGGACATTTAAATATTGATCATTGCTGTCTGACCAAATTTAACAACTGAGCTCTCAGTACCCGAGTACAAAAAATATTTTTCAGTTACTAGCATTTGAGCCAAAGGTTGGGTGGTTTTGTGACATTTTGAGGCAGTTAATTTTAAGGTTTTATCTTTTCTTTGATCCAGCGAAACCTTCACCTGCAGCCTCAACCATCCCAGCTGTCACCACAGTTGTCACATCAGGTAATTAACTCAGTGTTTAAATTGTAAGAATGAGATAGGATGAATGACTTTTTCCAAATATATCCTGGTATGATTCTGAATTGAGAGTCATCTTTCATCCCTAAGGACCAGAGTGAGAGCACTGTTAAAGTTTTAGTGTAATAGGTTTTGCTACAGAGTTTTGTCTTGTTTTCTAATATTTAGTCAGAATTGTCAGGCAGACAGTTCAAGTAATGAATTATTAAATTGAATATTCCCCAGAATCATAGTATCATGATAGTCCCTTGAATAGAATTTTGTAATGTCTAATTGTAGTAAAAGGAGAAATGATTATTTTCTTTTTTCCTCCATGAGTCAAACTCTGCAACACATTAAGGCTGCTATAAAGCCTTTTTGTTACTATGTAACATTCCCTGTAGGAACCTTTAAAATATTTGAGGAGCATACCTGTACATTCCTAACTAGGTAAGGGCTTTATCATTATAGGATTCCAAATAAAAGCTCAGCTCTACATTTGGAAACATGTTAATGAAGTGAAAGAGTGGTAAAGCATTAGGTACTTTGGCTGGTCAACTTAAATATTGTTTTGAAGTTGAGAACTATCTTAATCAAATTCTTTGTGACCCCATAGTTTCTTTACTGGCCATTATTGCTATTTTCTCCAAAAGTGAATGAAAAGTTACTTTACATCTTTACCAGAAGGACCTCAAGTACCATGCTACCAATTTAAAATCTAGGTTCTGTAATAGAGCAATTACTATTTTTTGCCTTATTTTAAAATTGAGAAAATTGTTTTTAAGATAAAGTTTGAATAAAGCAATCTTTAGTATAAAAGCAGCAGTCATTATAGTGGTTGGGGGTGGGATCTCTTATATATGGTCTTGTTTTCCAGGTAAAACTTCTAAGTGTCTGAAAAGCTCCTCAAATTACAAATTTAAAAACTTCTATGTGTTTTTTCATTACTGCTCTCTATTTGTCACCAATTTTTTTGCAGACCAAAGGTGACAGTTTTTTTGGGTAATGAGAAGGAGTAAACCCTATCAACACCTAAATTTTACTGTCCCATAATATTAGATGTAAATAGAATTTGAGAGTTAACATTAGCTGCAGACTCTTCCCAAAATTCTAACTCGTGACCTGTCCTTGAATTTCTCCAAGCCCTTAGAATAGCATTTGGTACCCAGTGCATGACATATAAGTGTTTTTAAATGCTTTTTGAGTGAATAAGAAGCAATTAATTAATATCTAACCTAGCTGCATAAAAATAATTAATGAAGCTGTCAGAAGGTCCTCTTTATATTTAAGGTAGAATTTTAATAATCTGAGAAATTTTATAATTTTCTTATATAAAATGTGATGTCATCTGAAAAATCTCTCTGGGTAGAATTGAAGAAGGTTGAATGATGGAACTTATTTTCTAACCTCACTGTGCATATTGTTTTACTTCAGCTACCAGAAAGTTGACCTGATGTGAGATGCTTACAAAGAATTTGATAGAAGAAAGAATTTTCAGATGGATTTTAATTTTAGTATCATGCTAATGTAGGCAGGATTTCTGCATTAGGAGACTGTTATTGGGAAGGAAGTTGAACTAGCTGACTTGACCTGCTTAGGTACTTGTTAGTGCCAAAATTCTGTAATGTATTTGGTTAAACACAAGTTATAGTATGTCATAGAGAAAGTCCTGTGAAAGACTCAAAATCTCTATAACCTTCCATTAAAGCTATTTATTTCTTTTCTATCTTACCTAACAGGTGCATCAAATGTAACTGTGACTCCCACCCCTTCTACGAGAAAATCTACTTTTGATGCAGCTAGTTTCATTGGAGGAATTGTTCTCGTGCTGAGTGTGCAGGCTGTAGTTTTCTTTCTCTTTAAATTTTGCAAGTCCAAAGAACGAAACTACCATACTCTTTAAGACACATTATAACATGGACTAGTAGTTTAATGTGTAGTTTATTGAAACCAAAATATTACCTTTTGAGATGTCCTACATGGAAGACAGTGTTTCAAAATCTTTAAATCTCCAAAGGATGCATATAGGATATTTTGGAGCATCTTCCTTGAAGAAAAAGCAATTCAATCACTTGTACTCAGCAGGAATACTTAAAATATTCTGCATGAATCCTTGTGGCTAGCTGTCTTTTATTTTAAGTGGCTGCTGCTGTGGGGTTTTTTTTTTCCCTCTTACCATGACATGCCTAATATAGTTTTTTTTTTTTTAAATTTGGTGGACTCGCTGTTCTGAGCTGACAGTTTCATAACTGCCAGCAGTTTAAGTTGAGTCATTTTAAAGCCTAAAAGCTGCATTATTCCCATTTTCACTCAGGATGTAAATTCATAGACTAAATTGTGAGAATGTGCCAAATGATCAGTTGGTGGATTTTTGACTGTTGGTCCAAAAGTGGAATTAATTTGTGGGAAAACAATACTCTTACTGTATATCCTTGAAGTGGAATTTAGTGCTTGACAAACCTGTATTTTTTTTTTCTACATTAGAAATAAGATGCCATACAGGAAGTTACATTCCAGATTTAATGCAAAGGGTACAAACCATAAATATGTAGCAGGTTATTGTCCATTCTTTAAAAGCACCTTATCATTGGGAAAACAAAGAACAGTGCCTTAAATTAAAGACAAGACAGAACAAGGTAGACTGTAACTTTAAATGTTTATGTGATTTGACATTTTTCATTAAGAAAGGTAACATGGGCTTAACTTTCTGATCAGCATCAACATGCACTCAAATTTGGTAGAAACTCAGCAACATGTTATTATGTAATTTAAAAGTCTCAGCTACTTAATTTTGAAACTAAAGAATGTTATAGGAAGTTGAAAGCATTCATAAGTTAAATTCTTCAATATTTTTGTGTGTATCTGCTAAAATATTTTTATGAGGTTTTATTTTTAAAGGTACAGGATAATTTTAGGGAAAATATTAGGCATATCTTGCTTTACATTTATTTTCTAAAAGTTCTTTGTATGTAGCTGTAGTACCTTTAAGCATTCCAATTAAGCTTTTGTAGAAATTTTTAATTTGCTATAAGGCAAGGAGGAAACAAGTACTAGTTTGAGAATCATTCACAAGTTCATTCCTTATTAAAAAGAGACAATCAGAGTTTTCAGACAGTAGATATGACTGGTGAAATTTCAAGAAATGACAGTTATTTTTGTGTGTTAGAGCAGATTCCTATAGGTCTTAGAATTGTTTCATGGTGATTCCCCTTAAGATGATTTTTTTAAATCCCTGTACCTATAAGGGAACACATGCTTGGAATACATCTTTCATCTAATACTAATTTTTCCAATCTCAGAACAACTTAGCATTTTTAATAAAGGTTTTTCTTACAGTCTTTTTTCTCCATCAATATTCAATTGGATTTGGCTAATAAGAGGCTTAAAAATAGGTTGTTTTTTGTTTTTGTTTTTTTCTAGTTCATTGTTATATCTGTCATTTGGTACTTGGTGGCTTGTTTCTAGCACTACTGCAGCAGCAGATGGCATTGCATTGATTTATTTTTTGGTGGGGGTGGCAGAACAGCTGAAAACCCTTGCTCCAATAAATTGAATTACATTAAAGGTTTCTAAAATGAAGTTTTATTGTTTGTTTTTGTTACTTGCTGGTACAGATAAGTTTGTTTTACTTACACATTTGTATGCCTGACTTTATCAAGTGCCTTAATTGTTTGAAATCTCTGGCTTCAAGTTTTTTTTTAAAGGGAAAGGTTAGGATGATTTACCTGACTAAATTGTGGTTTTGTCATGAGTGCAAACACATATTTTGGGAAAACCTGGATTTGGGGGTCTATGAATGTCAGGATTTTATGTAAGTGCTATAAGACGATAAGAAAATGTGATTCAATTCCATGTTTACACTGGAGAAGGGAGTAAAAACTAGCAAGAACCATGGGTACTTGTTATTTCTAAAACATCTTAATACTCTTGCCTAAAAATTTTGGCTTTGCCACATAAGTTATCAGCGCTAAATGTAGCAGCTTAATAAAACTAGCTTGGTATGGAAGACTTGAACTATTATTCTGGGTACTGCTTTGATTAGTAAGAAACCATGCAAAAATTAGTTTACAAAATGGCTCTTAGTATAGATATTTGCCTTTCTAAACCCATTTCCTTCTCCATTTAACGGTTCGATATTCTCTTGAGTCATCAAGACTTTGTAATATTTTTTTAATTTATAAGATACGCAGTGATCTTTTCAGACTTTGGTTTTGTTCCTAAAGCCAATTCAAATGTTTTATTTCCCATCAGACCTTGTACTTAACAGTTTGTTGCATGGGCAGATTGCTGTATTTTGAATTTCATTTTCATGTTTTTGGTGAAGACAATGCTAAATCAATCTGTAATCACGACCAGACTGACTTAAAATAAATTCACATGTTGAATTAATTCGCTTTTATGATTTGATTGTGCAATTAAAGACAGGCAGAATGGAATGACAAGAAGAGTGCTAGATGTGGAGTCAGAAGGACCTGGGTTCAGATCTGGTTGATTATACTTAACCTGTCTGAGCCTCAGGTAGCTTTTCAGTTATAGACAAATGCCAATGATATTACTGGTCCTTGACAAGGTATTAAGTGCTTATGTGATTTTCATTTTTGGTTTTTAGATGAGTTGTACACCTCAACTAAAACTGTTTTTCACTGATACTAAAACCCTCCTATTGACTTTCTAAACAAGGATAGTGAAACATTCTTTGGGAAACTGTAGCTCTAATTAGAGGATCACAGGATAAGGATTTCTAAGAACAATTTTGCTTTTTGGGCATACAGACATTAAATTTCAGATTGAATGCAACAGCTACTTTTACCAGGGCCATTTCAGTGAGGGTAAGATTTAAAAGTGAAATTGGGCTTCCATTTCGGAGAATTGTTGCTTTGGATGTAAAAGCAGTAGGACATGTTAGTCCTTGTTGTAGACTTGACATCTGAAATTTAATAGTTTTTCTCCCCCTTTAGGAGGACACGAAGCCATTAATTTCATGTAAGTCAATTTTCTGTTAAAAAATGAAAATGGTCCAACTTTAGTCAAAGAACTCTGAGGGGAAAAAAAAGAAACTAACTTTGGTTAAAGGATCCCCTATTTAAGAAAAGAGACTATATGCCTGAAATTTTTGGATAAGGATTCATTTACCTTTGAAACACTGAATTTGAATTTCCTACTGAACTTGGTTATAGCCAATTTTCCTAGTATTGTACAGATCTGCTCTTACATCCCTAAAGAACTGAGATTCTCTAAAAACAGGATTCAGAAGGTGGTTTTGTAGATGAAATGGCTTTGGTAGAAGTTTTTTTGGGGGAGGAAGACATTTTTGGAATATTGTACCTACTAAAGTCACAGTTGTCATTGGTAGGCTTGTACTGTACCAGTCTTTGGAAGTAACAGAAATGAGCCAAGGAGATGGCACTTGCTGAAGTAAATGTAGTAAATGCTTTGTATCAAATGCTTGTGATAGTAGATCCAAGAGCTATACACTTACCAAGTTGGCATTTTCACCTTTCACTTACACTCTGCTGCGAGTCTTTCATTTCTAGAAATTTGTAAAACTTCTAAATCATTGTTAATAACCTAATTAAAGTTCCCAGAACCCAGGGACAAAGAGCATTTTCTGCAAGGTTCAAGTTAACTATCCCAGTAATCTCTGCCCTGTGGCCGTATTGCTTATGTATTCATAAACATTGCTCCTATAGAACTCATTGTTGCCTGTAATGCATCTCTTGATTGATACCTATTTTTAGCAGCTCTGTTAATGTCAGTTGATAGGTTGGGTATGCCTGTCTCCAATTTTGGCAGAAGTAACTTCACCATATCTTAAATGGTGCCAAATATTTTTTTGTTGTGTGCTTGTAGGCTGCAGTATTTTAAATAATTTGCTATTTTATAACAGTGGTTTCGACGACAATACCGAACACAGTTGAAGAGTTTAATATAGTAATGTTTTATGGCCATTTTTATTCAGTAACTTTGAAGCAGAGGAGTAGTTAGTTCCTCTTAGAAAAACTTGAAAAGAGCAACTGTGTAGGCCTGAGCAGGGATGTGGGTTGCAGAACAGTAGGAATTCGAAAAGCTGCTGGCTGAACATTATCAGTCACGTTGGGTAAGCAAGATTCTCCTCTCCTGCATTTTGTGGGTACCTATAAATGTACTAGGTATTAGTATTTTTCTTCAGGAAGTTCTTAGACCTTTTTTTTTGCCTGTTTTTGTTTTTTTTAGACCATTTTTAAGCTAGCATTATCACAAACTTTGCTAAGAAGTCCAGGGTTCAGTTCCTTTGTGGACCACTTAACTTGGCTTTGGTTTTTAGCTTCAATTCTGTCTCTAGCTCCAGCTAGTAGTAATATTGTAAATGCATTCACGCTGGTCATGGTGATTAGGCAAAGAATGTAGATGAACTAATGTAATAAATCAACACAACTGGAGAAACTAGTGCCATTTTTGTACAATTTTGAAGAGAATTATAGAGCCTATTATGTTTATGGATTATCCACAACAAATTTTTACTCCTGCTGCTCAGTGGGCTTCTGAGACATTAGTTGTGTGATGAACTCTATTGCCTCAAAGAAACCCATCCATATTGTATTCCAAAATTGAATATTTTGTTAGTTCTATTAGAGTTAACAGAAAGATGATTTGTCCCACATTTTAAAAAGACCTTTTCCCCATATGTGTTAATGTAGTTTTAAAATGTTTTCAAAAATCATTCGTACATCATAATAACTAGAAACTCACTAACCCAGACATAATTTGGTTATTTCCTTGCCTTGTACCTCTTGCCCAAAAGTAAAGAAATGGGGTTGGATAGGATTTTTAAAAGAGGGGCAAAACAATTTAGTGTTAAGCAAAACTTAGGTGCCTACTGTTTGCCTAGGTGCTAGGGATAAAGATAACAGTTGCTGTCAGGTATCTGTTAAATGTCAGGCACTGCTAAGCACTGAGGATACAAAGAAAGGCAAAAGATAGCCTCTCCTCTAAAGGAACTCAGTCTAATAGGGGAGATAACATGCAAACAACTTAGGTACAAGCAACATTTACCTAAGATAATTTGGAGATAATCTCAAATGGAAGGAAGTAGCATTAAGGGGAATTCAGGAAAGATGGGAAATTTTAGCTGAGACCTCATGGCAGTCAGTAGGCAAAGATTAGACAAAACATTCTAGACATGGGCTAGGGGGGTGGGGGCAGACAGCCAGTGATAATGCTCAGAGTTGAGAGATGGAGCATTGTGTGCCAGGAGCAAGGCCAGTGTCAATCAATGGATTGCAGAGTTCAAGGAGAGGAGTAAGGTGTAAGAAGACTGGAAAGGTAAGGCAGGGCCAGGTTATGAAGATCTTTGAGAAACAAACAGGATTCTCTTAAGGGGGGAGACGAGGTCAGACCTGCACTTGAGGAAGATCAAATTTGACAGCTGTGTGAAAATTAGACTGGAGTGGAGAAAAGACTTGAGGCAGAGAGACCGACCAGAATATCACTGAAATGATCCAGGCATGGGGTGGTGAGGGACTACATGAGAGTGGCAGTCTAAGGAGAGAAAGGGGATATATGTAAAAGATGGTGTGGCAGTAGAATTGACGGGCCTTAGCAACTGATTCGATATGGGAAATGAGTTGAGGATGGCACCCAGTCTGGGTGACTGGGAGGATAGCAGTGCTTTTCATAGTAAATGAAAAGTAAGGAAGAGAGGAGGGTTTAGGGAAGAAGATAATGAGTTCAGTTTTGATATATCAATATGTTGATATATATTGAACATCCAGTTGAAGATATCCAATAAGCAGTCAGAAATGTGAGACTGGACATTGGTAGAGAGGTTAGGGCTGGATTAATAGATCTGAGAATTATTTGCATAGAGATGATTACTGAATCCATGAAAGCTGATGAGATCACCAAAGGAAGTAGCGTGGAGGTCCTTATAGAGCTGGGAGAATATACAGTGTGTTTACAAATAAGTAGAACATATGGAAAATTAAGGAGGGAGAGAATAGTAACAGAGAAATGGATCAGAGAAGAGTTCATGGAGGAGGTGAGACCTGAGCTGACACCAAAGATACCCAACTGTATGAGAGGTGGAGATGAGGGCTTAATTCCAGGCATTAGGGACACCTTACTGTGAATGCACATAACTGTCAGGTCTGGATAAAAGTAGTTCAGTTTGGCTGGAATCTAGAATTCCTCAAGCAGGGTAGTGTGAAATAATGCTGGGAATGTAGAGTTTTGAGCAGAGGAATGACATTGTTAGACCTGTGCCTTAGGAAGATTTTGTCAGAAGCCATTGTAGGATGACTTGGAGAGGGAGACAGTAATATCAAGAGTTTAATAATCCAAGATAAGTGATGAAGACCTGAACCAGCAAGGTGGCAGCATATATATAGATAGGCCAAGGTTACACTTGAAGAGGTTCAAACATGGACACAGGAATGGCAATGTTGTGCGATGATCAACTGTGATTGACTTAGCTCTTCTCAACAATACAATGATCTGAGACAATTCCAAAAGACTTATGATGGAAAATACTATCCACATCCAGAGAAAGAACTATGGATTCTGAATGCAATTGAAGCATACTATTTTCACTTTTTTTGTTG